AATGGTTGTTATGCTATAGAGTACATGAATAAGGAAAGAGCATATATGTATTTAGTTCAGAGTTCATTTTCCTGATATATTCCTGATTCATGGTTGGTTGACTGTATAGATGAGCAACCTGTAGACATGAAGGATAGACTAGCCTTCTGGTTTGTTCTTATTCATTAATTTAAGTCAGGTCTATGTTACATACTGTATTAAAAATTTCAGTTTTAGGCACCAGAGCATATGAGCAAAGTAAATTAAATGTCAAGTCTCCTGTGTAAATATTTAGCATGCTTGCTAGTGACGAGGGCAATGACTGACCTAATTTCTGTCAGTAAGTGAGGGGTGATTTATGAACAGTAGGTTACTGAGGATTCTTTTCAACCATCCGCTTCTTTTTTGGAGCCCACCATTTTGAAACTTGTTTTCTCAATTAGAAATAACTAATTGACCTTCAAGATACGACTATGAACTATCCAGATGGCCCTCATTTTCTAAAGGTAATGAAGTTCAGTCATTAGTATAGGAGTTCAGGGTAGTGGTGTAGAGGGCTGTGGCATCTTGAAGATACATGAGCTACTGACAGCTGTTCTCTCTCTGAAATATGCACCAAATGTGCTTTACATGTGATGGGGGTCGTGCTACAGGGAAACTGCATGAGATAAAGTGAATCACAATTCAGCACAGAAAAGCTCAAGAGAACGTGCTACACAGGCTGGCTTCTAGATGCCTCATAGGATGAGCGACACGTATGCGCGTGCGTGTGTGTGTGTGTGTGTGTGTGTGTGTGTGTGTGTGTGTGTGTGTGTATGTGTGAATTTTTGGTTTCTAAATGAAAGTATCCATAGCTGTTCAATCAGCTAGATTCCCACACAGTGTGATCAGTGTGATCGGTGACAAAGTCTGTCTCTAGTAACATGTTTAGTTGTGAATCTCCTTGACAAATGAGAAGCAATGTTTTGCAGCAGCAATGTCTATGACCTGATTTGAACCTGCAGCTGAGAACTACAGCTAGTATTGGCTCGGTGAACCTCGAAATGCTTGGTGGTTTTGTATCATTTTCAATACTTAGCACAGTGTCCTGCTTTAGTTATTTTCTCAGCAAACATCTTGTGCACTTTTAGATGGAAAACCTTACCTCTCCAAATAAACAAATCTAAAAGGGGTGTTTTTAATACTTCCTGCATAGATGTCTATGGCTGAAGAATTTAGCCAATTTCAATAGCTACTGCAAGTCCAAAAAATGTTAAACTCCCCTTTCAAAGTAAATAAATCTAAATTAGATGGAATAAGACTGGTTAAGTTAAACTGTTGTTCTGGAATCAGTGGGCACTGCCTGTGAACTAATGAGAGCAAACAGTTCCTCTAAAATGTTTTATGAAATTCAAATGCATTTAAGAGAGCTCTGAAAGGTTGGAAGATGAATAGAAACCACACGACCTTGCAAGACTGCCAAAGTACTTTCTCCAGTCAAAGTGGTTAAAGGAGACTACAGCATTAGCTTTCCTTATTGGAAGGCCTCAGCTATGTCCATAAGCAATATTGACCTTGAAATGCAGACCTCGCATATTTCAGTGCAGAAGAAACAATGGTAGTCCCCTCTTATGAAAAGATCACAAATATTGAAAATGATGCACACACAGAGCCTAAAAATACTGCCAAGAGCTCTTCAGCTTTCAATATGTCCTTGTCCAACACATTTGGGATGTCCTTGTATAGGTGTCAATATTCAACAGCTAAGATAAATGACCACCTAGCCCTAAATATAGTGTGTGTATTTACAATAAGCATAAAAAGTAAAAGCTGAAAAAAAAATGTAGTGAAAAAAATATGGAAAGACCTATTTCATGTGTATATTTCTCAGGTAGAGCTGTCTACCAAATTCCCATTCTTCTGCCTGAAGGAATGGCATAATGAAAAACCTGTCAAAGCAGTCTGGTCCCCAACATTCCATAAGTATGAAAATTTTTTTCTTCTCAATGCTTTCCTATAGATTCTTCACTTGGTTGTTATTCTCAAACATCTACATGGAGGAGGACAGGTGTCATTATTCCTGTGTCATAGAAGAAAATAAAACTGAACCAGAGGGACCCTAGGTTTTATAGATGTTGATTCCATGATATGAAGTCTAAAGACTAAGCATTTCCAATCCCCTATACCAACTATCAACTATCGTGGGGTGAAGTTTAACCTCATTTTCAGAATTATGGTTTAGGCACTGATTAGGTCCTTTCTCTAATTTGCATCTAGTAAAATAAATTGCCTTCATGCATTTGAGTTTTGGGGCCACAATTAATTGTTTCAAAGGTCCACAAGGATGATTGTGTCTAGCAATCAGATGAAACAACAAGGAAAGCTTGTTTTTCATAAACAATTAGCAATACTGTGTGATCTGAAAAGTAGCCAAGACTGGAAGTAGCTTCAAGTGGGCAGGTTCCAGTAATAGGTACCTAGGTTACAGTGGATGCTGTATATTCAGGTAGACACTATACTTACTTTGTGTATGTTCTTGAGTAAGGTATACATTTTATCATACATTGTAATTTATTTATAATACTATTCTTCAGCATTTTACTGTTTATATCTATAGACTTATAAATTACTGCCATGTCAACCAACCACAAGGGTTTGCTTTTAAAAGAAAATTAAATCAACAGCAAATTCTTTGCAATAGTAGGTCTTTTATAAATATAAGTGCAAAATATAGTCAACACATGGTGATTTAAAGCAATGCTGCACTGACAAGCTTGTTTTTGAGAATGTGTACACATTACTAATTGAGTATATAATTTATGCTTTGATTTAGAGATAGAGTTGGCCTTAGGCAGATCATCAATGCTTTTTGTACTTACAAAATGGAAAGATGATACTAAACCAAGGAAGTACTGTATACATTAGCAGATGCAGAGTAAGCCATATTTTTAGTCTAACAGATTAAACCAATTTTTATATATTTTCCAACTTCACTCTGCATACAAGATGACTATGTGAGCAAACACAGTAATCATTTGAACACAGTAACAGAAATGGAAGAGATACTCTATATCCCCACATTCTCCTTATAATCCTGCAAGTGTTTCCTGTACACCATGACCCATCAAGACTAGAGTACACTGTTGTTTCTTCCTCTTGGGACTTGGAGTCTTTTAGAAACATGAATGACTAAAGCAATGCCATTTGTGAGAACTCTTATTTTTTTTAATTGAATTTAATTTTATTTTACAATATAATTTAGTTCTACATATCAGCCACGGATTCCCTTGTTCTCCCCCCTCCCGCTCCCCTCCCCTTCCCCCCAGCACACCCCCATTCCCACCTCCTCCAGGGCAAAACCTCCCCTGAGGATTGAGATCAACCTGGTAGACTCAGTCCAGGCAGGTCCAGTCCCCTCCTCCTAGCCTGAGCCAAGTGTCCCTGCATAAACCCTAGGTTTCAAACAGCCAACTCATGCACTGAGCACAGGACCAGGTCCCACTGCCTGGATGCCTCCCAAACAGATCAAGCCAATCAACTGTCTCACCCATTCAGAGGGCCTGATCTAGTTGGGGGCCCCTCAGCCATTGGTTCATAGCTGATGTGTTTCCATTAGTTTGGTTATTTGTTCTGTGCTTTATCCAACCTTGGTCTCAACAATTCTTGCTCATATAAACCCTCCTCTTTCTCACTAATCGAACTCCTGGAGCTCCACCCGGGGCCTAGCTGTGGATCTCTGCATCCCTCAGTCATTGGATGGGGTTTCTAGCACGACAATTAGGGGTGTTTGGCCATCATATTACCAGAGTAGGTCAGTTCTGGCTGTCTCTCGACCATTGCCAGCAGTCTATTGTGGGGGTATCTTTGCGAGGATAGAGGGAAGGAGAGCTTGGGGGAGCGTGAGATCCCAGCTGGATCAAGAACAGAGAGGGAGAACAAGGAATAGGAGGAGGAGACCATGGTAAATGAAGACCACATGAGAATAGGAAGAAGCAAAGTGCTAGAGAGGCCCACAGAAATCCACAGAGAACTCTTAGTTTTTAAGACACATGTTCATGAAGAGTCCAAGACATGCTTTCAGCATGGCTAGGGAGCTACCAACTGTATGCCCCCTTCTTGGTTCTAGGTGTTTTTGGGAGCCCAGTGACTACACTGATGTTAGTAATTACACACCAGTCTGTTTAATGCCTTAAGAAAATTGCTTAGAACTCACTGGATTTAGTAACATCAATTTGACAGTTTCACCATATAAATCAACCTCCTGGACTTCATAATATTTATTTTGTAAGATGTTTCATATATAATACATTATTCATGCATACACATGTATAGTAAACATATTATCACCACATTATTTACATGTATATTATATATATATATATATATATATATATATATATATATATATATATATATATATATATATATATATATATATATATATATATATATATATATAACACTTTTATTTTTACATTTACTTTTTTTTGTAGTTCTGGGGTTGGAACTGGGGTCTTTTACATACTAGGCAAGCTCCTTATTATTGAGACACAACCCCATTCATATTATATAAAATGTTTCAATTATTATACACATTTTCAGATATTTTTCACAGTACATAATAGTAAAGTTATGAACTTAAACTTATGAAAAAAATTTCACTAATTTAAATGCTTTTACTTAGTATATGTACTGTACTAAAGCACCTATGTTTTTCTTCATATAAATAATATATTCTTATGATATACTTAATAGTGTCAAACATATAGACAGTAGGAAATAAGATCTAATCTTTAGACGGTTTTTTACCACTCAGGGTGAGTGAGAAAAGCGGAAATTAAGTGCATTTCAGTGAATCATTTTATACTGTTTCATGCAGCTATGCATGTACCAAGGATCTCTATGAATGATTTGACATAGTGCTTTCTGACTTCATATCTTGTCAACACCTTCACCCAGCACACCCAGTAAAATCTAGTAGCTTAAGAAGATGGAGAAGAACTAAAGTGAAAACCATAATAGACTTAAAAAGAGCAACTAACCTTTTTCCACCTCATTCAGATTAGCAGCTGGCAGCGACAAAGACAGAAGAGACAAAAGACATTTTACATTGCAATACCACAGTAGCACACACAAAGCCAACGTGCAGCATTAACAACAGAGAAGGCAGGCTGAGAGAGCAAACAGAAGCTTAGACTTCTTACCTACAGCTTGCCCAACACACAAACATGGAGAAGAATAGGGCCAGAGTAAAAGCCACTATAGCAAGCTAGAGATAGGCAACTAAATTGGGTGACTGACACCTCAACTTTACTGTAGTAGATGTGAAGTGGACATTTGTGTAGGGTGCCAGAGACAAAATGGGAAAGCTAAAGAGTTCTTCATAATTTCCATAAGATTGACTATGATAATAAATGTGCCAGTTAATATGAGCAGTGCCATTGTGCTGAATAATTCAATTTAATAGAAAATCTTGAAATGTGACCAACTTGTACATACTTCTATATGGCCCTGTGAGAGCAGGATTATTGAAGACACATATTCTTGACAAACAGATCCAGAATTAGGACAATTGAAAAACATCTTCCATCCTAATATTTACTTCTGCAAAACTATTTTTCCCAGATCAGCTCCAAATCTAATACTATCTAAACAAAGTTTTCCATGGATTCAATATTGTAGCCACACCATATTCCTAAATTTCAGTTTATACATTATGAGTTAATCTAACTTCAGGAATTCCTTGTAAACTTTCCTATAGGAAATATTTTGTTTTATGAAAAGCATACACTAATAATTAAGAAAAACAAATCTAATCCCCAAATCTCTGAAGCTAAATTAAAAATACAGAATTATTTTTAAACATTTTAATATTTCCAAATCATTATTCTTATTTTTCCCATATTTCACATATCGATTTTAATATAGAGTCATAGGGAACTAAATTTCTAAAAATCAACTTTTCATGAATAATACTAGCAATGAGGTGTCTTCCGGCTAGGAGAGCAGAAAATGGGCCTAGTATGTAGAGAACAATACATCTTATTATTAAAGTGGAGAGGGTCCTGTAAAATGTAGATAACAGAAAAACACTATTGACCCATACAGTTTATGTTATCAATCTTTTTAGCAGAGGAGGGCAGGAAATATTTCATCAGCTACATGCATTGATATTTGGTTACTCTGAGTTTAACTCTGCCTCTATACATTGCTGAAAGTTGGTCCATCTTATCTCAAGTATTTCTAGCTCATTTTACAGGCTACTTGTCATTTCCTGATTTCCTTGTCAGATCTCTGAATTTTCTCCTTTGACAAGCGTTCATCTTGACATAGATGTTAAATGAAAGCATTGTCACCATGATAATTTGCAAGCTTTCCTGGTGAAGCCTTATTTGCGGCTATCAAATAGAATTCACATTTTCATTGTATGCCTTTCAGATACAGAGTAAAAAAGAAATTCAAAGGAAAAAGCAACTGGCAGCTTAGATCATTATTAAAACAATGGCAACATTATTATATTCTGTGAGGACAGAAGGGCTTTTTGTTCTCAGAACTCACATGCATTAATCAAATTCCATCTTAAATGTAAAACAATAAAGCCATATTATAAGGAAATCCCTCTGTAACTGCAGACATGGGTTAAACAGGACACAAAATTCTAGATTCTGACTTAAGCTTCACTGTAGGTGAAGGTCACCTATATGCCACCAATCTCAGAATCTGAAAATGGCTGTTTGACATTTTGTAAATGCACTCATTTCAGATGTGCACAAAACTCTACATTTAAGAGATGAGTTATGAGTTCACCCCATTTAGTTATCTTCTCTATTGCCAAGTTGTCAAGTCCATCATGACTCAGTCCAATGTAATAAAGGTAGGATCTCTGCTCTGTGTTGTGCACATCTCCAGTTCAGTATGTGTCTTGATCCTTTGCCTAAATTAAGGCAAAGAGATATGTGTAATAGCTACAAGTAAATTGAGCAATGTTGTCTAGGTTCTATTTCAGAGCCAAATGCTTTTGACAGATAGACGTGGTGGGGGTCCTTCATGACAACTTTGATGAATGTCACATTTTGGAAAAGAAATGGTTTAGCTAAGCTTTGAATTATTGTGGTATAGCACTAAGAATGACATCTGGCATAGTTGGAGAAGGGCTACTGTGTTACACTTGTCAGAAGAGGGCGCACAGAAATGAACTCCTTAGGAGGGCACACAGTGCTTAGGAACTAAAGCAGAGCAGGTAAGAGGAACACTCAAAAATTCTGTGAATAATCAGAATAAGAATTAGGAAATTGAGCATCAGTGCAGCTGGACCTGCTCCAAACAAACCTAGATGTACTTACACCTTATGGAAATTATCATAGGAAGACATACAAGAACCTTAGAACATATGTGATCTCAAGTCTCAGTTACACCAGGAAGAAAGTATATATATATAAATTCCTGGCTTCTGTGCTCAGAACTACATACACAGCTTTTTATAATCTTACAAAGCTTGGGAGCCCAATTTCTTTGGTAGAATCAAATAGAGTGGGTTTATAGAAGTTCCAAAATAGAGTGGGTTCATAAGCTTTTTCCATGAGCTGTACAGTGATGGAGCTATAAAGCAGCTCTATCCAAGGTATGACTAAGAAACAGATTCTTATTTAACAATGAACTTCTTAAACACATATAAATAGCCATTTCAATAGATCTCAGACACTCAGGCTATGTATAACAGATTTAAATCTTTAGTCATAAGCTAATGGATGATATCTGACATGTGATACAGTGATAGAGATGGGTGGGCAAACTGTGTGACAACAAAAGTCTACACTTGTTATACTTTGTTAATGCAAAACAGTGAAGAATGATCAAATTCTGACTCCTTGCATGATAGCTATGTATGTATGTATCTATGTATTTAATTTTTATCTTGATCTATCTATCACCTATTTAGGTATCTATCTATGTACCTATGTATTTCTTTATCATCTATCTATCTATCTATCTATCTATCTATCTATCTATCTATCTATCTATATCCATCATCCACCTATCATCATCCACCTATGTATCATCTATCTAACTATCCATCTGTCTATATCTAGTGCATTAGTATTGTGACTCCATGGAAAGGGCAACTTTAGAAACATCTAAATACACCTAGGTTGTTAAAACTGAATCTTGTTACTCTGTTGCATTTTCCCTTAACAAAATACACATTCCCATGAAGAAAGACATTTAGTATAATGCAAACTTTTGTATTTTCCATAAGAATAAATTTCAAAGATTATTCCTCCTGAACTCTGGGAAAGTTAATTACATAGATATGGTTGTATTTGATACTTGGAAATATTAATCTTAGCTACCTAGATAATTATTTCATTATTTGAAATATGTACTACTATATGAAAATAAATGCAACAAATGAAAACACCAAGTAAAATGAAAATGGTAGCTCCTAAAATAGTGACAGAATCTACTTCTGTGTTTTTCTTTAGAGATAACATACATACCATTATCCTTCTCTAGCTCTTTTGGATGCTTTCTTAAAGGAAAAGCTGACCATGGCATTTCTTATGCACAGCCACACAAACACATCAGAAAAGCTATTCTTTTGAAAAAGACAAGGCAGAAATTTGGTTCTGACTTTACAGAAAACTGGTCTAAACTGAGAAGAAAGTTTAGCAATTTGAATAGTCTGATTAGGTTTCTCAACCAGAGAGAAAATATCGTTAAAAATGTGATACTCTCCTAAGATTTCCAGAAAGCTCATCTTCCTGACAGAGCACCAATTGAAGGACAGAGCTTGCCGGAGGTTAACATTCAGTACTGAAGATATAGTATGGACATTATTTATTTGAAATGCTGAATCGTGTTTTGGCTATGTAAAGAAAAGCACAAAAATATATGTTGGCACAACATTCTGTACAGAGAAAGTAGTTTGAATGGAAATATCATTGAATTATGGGTCCAAAAGTTTAAGCATGACCCCATCCTCGCTTATTCTTCTAGAGATCATGACCTTAGAAGGGTGCATGGGTTGAACTGAGCTTGCTGCATCTTTTATTTGGCAGATGAAATGATCCCTATGTAGGTTTGTTATTGCAATTAAATTTCCAAGTTATTGAATAATAATGGCTTGGTAAATAAATATAATAGTGCAATGATCCTTTCAAATTTGTACATTGATGGATGACATAACATTTTCTATTCTTCATACCTGTGTATTCTGGTGGGCAAAGGCATGTGTAGTTGTTAATTCCATCAACACATGTAGAATTATTTTCACAGTCATTATCTTCACAATCATCAATATTAACTTCACAGTTTTCTCCTTCAAACCCATCAGCACAACTGCACCTAAGCATCAGGGGGAAAAGGCAAGAAACATTTTTGGGTGCATTTTAAAACTTTGTGGTCAAAATATTTTTAAAAAAGCATAAAGATGCACACCAATTACAAAGCTTTTAACTATACAAAACTGATTTTTTAAAATTCTATGAAATTATATACTATAAGGGACCAGCTAACAATCCAGAAAACATTTAAAAAGGAAAACTCATGGTGGCTGAAAGATAGCAAGTGGCTCCTTCATCTTAAAAGTCCATGAGTCCCAATATATTTTCAAGTCCAAACGACAAGCAAAATTTCCCCCACTGTCCTAGACATGCGCATTCTCAAGTTGGGAATAATTCACACTCTTTGTTTGCAAATAAAGAAAAAGTGGTTGCGATATTTTAGCTACTTTTTTATTATTTGAGAATCTCATACATGGATATAACATGCTTTGATTGAATCCACCTGCTTTGCCTCCCATTAGATTCCTCCCTGACCACCTCATCACATTTCCTGCCCAACTTCATGTGCTTTCTCTTATGTTGTAACCTAGTGATTCCACAGAGTGCTGCCTATCTATGCATGAGTGTAGACACACCTACTAAAATATGAGCAGCCTTTCAAGAGCTACAACCTTGAAGGAACTCGACTCTTCCTCTACCAGAAGTCATTAATTGTCAATAGTGCTATTGCTCTTTCAGATGACCCAAGTTTTGTTCCCAGCAACCACATCAAGAAGTTATAGGCAATCACCTATAACTCCTACTATGAGAAAATCAGACACTTCTGTTTCTGTGAGGCAATTGCACTCAGATGCGCGCGCACACACACACATACACACACACATTCACGTAATTAAACTTAAAAGTTTGAACCTAATTTTTAAGAGTGTATCATCTGTAATTCTATGTGTAATGTCCTTGATGGCTTGTAACAATAAATAATGTTAGATTTCTTTTTTGCAACTATAAAATATGAACATTTTTAAATTAGTACATGTTATGTGTACTTTAACATTCTTCTTGAAACAATGGCTTCTTATTTGAAAATGATCGTGCACATTTGTTTGATTATTTTTGTTGCAGTACTTCAGACAAAGGAGATCACAGCCAGACAACTTACCAGAATCCATCATTCTCTCCTTCTTTTAAATGGCAAGTTCCTCCATGTTTACATGGGTTACTGATACAGGCATGGATGGGAACATCACAGTCCTGCCCCTGGAGAAGAAATGCACGTGTTTAAGGTAAGTACAAATAAAACAAGCTAGGTCTTAGAACACAGAGAAAGAACAGTCAACAAAAGATAGACAATGGGAACTGATTTCTCCCAGGTGTGATTTCTACTTACCTTGAAACCATATGGACAGGTGCATCGATAAAAATCAACTGGGTCATTATTACAGGTGCCATCATTTTTACATGGATTTGATAAACAGGGGTTACATTTGGCTTGAATAGTAACATCCACGGGACCTACAAATTAATAGACAATTATGAGAAGGGATGTATTCTCTTTTGTCATTACATAAATTCATTTATACTCCTTAATAGAGAAGTAAGATTTGTGTAAAGTTATTTGTTGTTTAGCTTTTCATGATTTTCTTCTATGATAGTAACAGAAATCAGTATCATCACATGATGCCAATAAATTCCAAAAGAGACCTTCTAACTGTGAGGAATATCAGACTTCTGAGTAACAATGGGATTCTGGGTTCACAGCTAAGGTAGTTAGAAGTTAGAATTAATGATGCCACTGTCAGGATATGAATCCCTTTAAGCACTGAAGAGTATTTCTGCACACTATCCATGGCAATGGCCTATATTTCAACTTTAGCCTGCTTAATGGAAACTCCAGTGCTATTTTATGTATATGACAACATCTAGAAAATGTAGTATATTTTACATTCTCCTTTGTGCTCTTGAATCATTTAGTTCATTAGTATAAGATGTGGCAGGTGATATTCCCAGTTTGTCTTCTTTAGCAATAAGATACCACTGAAATGAGCCTATCAGTCTCACATTTTAACACAGTTTATAGAAACCTTGCGATCTGTGAAAGGTCTGATTAACACAGACCAGCTTCAGAAAATTTCTACTCTTCACACTATATGACCTGTGGCCCAAAATGTGAAAATTAAACTGTTCTCTGTAAAGTCATGTTCCATTGACACTAACTTCTGTATGGTTTGTGAGAACCCCTTAGTTTCCTTTCTGCAACTGTGCTCGACTGGGACAATGGCAAATTAACATCTTTACATAGAAAGTACAAGTACTTTGAAATATGAACATCCATCATACTTTGACCAGCAGTGATCTTTGCATGGGTCCTTAGACTCATTGGAACAAGCAGTGGTCAATTAAATTCCACATTTCATTGCACACAATTCCTAGCTCAATCACTAGGATATTTGCTTTTGAGACATTTGGATAGCACCCCAAAGCATTATTAATCTATCAACTTGGTAACCTCCTCTGTTAATTTCACTCCACCTATCTCTCTTCTTTCCCTATTTCATGCCCTCCTCTCCAGAAGAGTCTTTCATAGCAAATATTCTGATGCTCTGGCTCTCATAATCTTTCTCCCCCTTCATCCCCCAATGTTCCCTGAGACTTAAATGTTGGTGTTGTGTTGATATGTATTAATAGGGAGTAGACAGTTATCTCTTTATTTTGACTAGTTGTGACTTTCTGTAATGCTCTCCTTCTGCTGGGAAGAGAAGCTTCTGTGATGAGTGGTGAGAGCTACCCTCATATATGGATATAAGAATAAGTACTTAGAATGCAGTTAGAAATTATACTGGTTTAAAAAAGTGGAAATAGTAAGTTCTATAGGTTCCATGACTTGACCAAACCAGAGGCAGTTGGCTTAATTTACAGTGAGAGGCAAGGACTCCCCTGTTTTGAGTGGCCTTAAGTTCAATTAGGTAGTTATTGGTTAGCTCCAGAATATAGGCATCACCATTGCGCCCTTTGAACTATCTTTCCTTGCTGGACATTGTTTGCTTCCTTGTCATTTCAGTTAGAGAGGATTATTGATTGTTTTTCTCCACTGGTAGCTTTCATAGCCCTTTTTATATCTCTCTGATTTTACCAACTTTGCTTCTTTCTATATTCCAACCCATTAGAATCATTACCCTGTCACCGTGATGATTTCCATTTGTTTTTCTACTTATATTTCAGTATTTTAAGTCATATCATATATCTTTTATTTGACTCCAATTTGTAATTCATTTTCTGTGCAGTGATCTCTCTCAGTATTTTATTCTGATGTCCTTTAAATTAAGGGGAATAATACCTTGATCCTGTCTTAAGGTTCCTATAGAAATTATTATAGTGATCATTAATAATAAAGGTGGAGATAAAAGGGTAATTATTAATTAGATTAATAATAGTCAGCTAATGATTTAATATTTTTAGAAACAGAAGTCTGATTTATGAATCTGTTGTGGACCATGAAAGATAGGAATAATAGGGCAATGATAAGAAGCAGTAAGCAGTTTCTTTCTCTCTCTTTGAAAAGCAACTATATCCTTCAGTTTCTCATGTTTGAAGCTAACTGTTTCCAAGGGAGGTTTTCTGCCAACAAATTAGTCCCCATGAGATGTGTACCACCAAGAAAGACATCTCATCTTATGGAGATAGATATTTGCTAGAGTCAGTGAAAAGAAGGAGGCGAGTGTATGCAAACTGGTTTGATTTAAGATTAATTTTAACTTAAGAAAGCACTACAGCTGGGCGGTGGTGGCGCACGCCTTTAATCCCAGCACTCGGGAGGCAGAGGCAGGCGAATCTCTGTGAGTTCGAGGCCAGCCTGGGCTACCAAGTGAGTTCCAGGAAAGGCGCAAAGCTACACAGAGAAACCCTGTCTCGAAAAACCAAAAAAAAAAAAAAAAAAAAGAAAGCACTACAGAGCAGAGGTGTGTTTAGCTTAATAATTCAAAGTGAAAATGAGAAGTTTGGTTAGCACTCCGTCTCTGTTACCTGCTTTAATAGAGGGACTGCTGAATTTTGAATCCATTGAAGTCTGAAGGCAGACCTGCTTACATGACTCCAACCACTAGCTAGCTATGCATCTTACCCCAGTGTTGCCAACCCCCGAGAATTCTATCTCACTTTGATTTACTACCAGACAAAAAAATTCCGACTATATCCCAGAATCTTTTTTTTTTTTTTTTAATTTTCTGATCTTTTGGAAACACTAGTCCAATAACAAACTCCTGTCCAAAGTACATGAAAGATAACTCCAGTAGCACCTGGGGGATTTTGATACCAGGCTACTGGACTGAAAGGAGATCTTATTTAAAAGCAAGTTATACTTGCTATTACAGAATTTCTTCAGCAATATTATCAAAGGCATATTTATCATTCATCAAATATTTATGGGCATCTACTTTGTGTAAGATGCTAGGCTCCAGATGATCAAATCCGAATGAAATGCCTGAGTTTCTTCAAAATCTTACTGTTCAGCAGTAGAGATATGCATGTGTCAATTAGAGAAAAAATAGTAAGGGTAATGATAGCACATGTGATGAAATGTGCATTTTAAGTTTGTGCAAGCTGTTAAGAGAGATTTATGAAAGAAATTGAAATAGGATCCTAGATTCCATGGGGAAATTCATGGCCAAATATTTGTGCCCATTGATGGAAATCTATTCAGAGTTTAATAAGACTAAGAACTGAACTCCATGGACAGCTAAGAAAGAATGCAGTACCAGAAAAATATATGAATAAAGAGGCAAAGAAAATGTAAAAAAAAAAAAAAAAGGAACAGTGGCTATATCTAATGTAAATGAGAAGAGCTAATGAGGATAATTAAAATGACATCACTGGATTCAGCAGGACAGAAGTCATTGCCCTTATCATACACTTCCAACATATAGGAAGGAAAATGGCAGCTGATGATGGGTGATTAAAAAGTCCTCTGAGACCACTGGACTTCCTCTTTGGCTATTTATATGTGCCTGTGGCCAGTAAAGAAATTCTTGAGCTATGATGGTTTAGAATAAACAGTAATTTTCCATATAATTAGTGTTACCATGGAGAATATGGTTATAATGTATTCAAGGGTGGATTATTAGGTGTTAGTTCTGTGTATCTATTTAAATAAATGCATATTAAAACTTTCTCAGCTTCAAATGTTAAAGTGTAATGAAAAATATATTTACTCCCTTTTATTTTTATGAGTGATGATTTTTGCAGATAACTATTTATATATACACATTTTTCTTCAGATGATGAACAAATTAAAAATTCTCCAAATTAAAGTTATTTCAAAGTTATAGCTGTAAGTTAGTGATATGAGTTCTGAAAACGTAAAATGTTTGGATTGAATTTGAATAATGCTTCAAAGCTGATCTCACCAGTAAATTTTTCATCACTTCTAGTTTAGACTAAATTATTTAACCATCCTTACCTTGGTTCATGATTAATGTTAATATTAAGGAACAATTTTGAAGTACAAGCCAGAGGCTCTACTCATGCTGCTCAGAATTTCTCCCCCAAGGGAAAATATGAATCTTCTTAAGAAAACCACTACTATTTCAATGTCATTATGGAGAGACGGATATCTTCCCTCACAATTCTAAAAGGGGCAGGATTTTTAATATATAAAATTAGGTAAAGAAAAGCAGTAAACCAGATTGTGGTATAATGTCAATGCTTTAGGATTTAATAAGTTCCTAGAATTACTGGATGCTTGAGCTTTTATATATAAAGTAGTGAAGTAAAGAAATAATGAAGATGATCCTCCTTCTTCTCTTCCTCCTTGTCTCCCTCTTCCTTCCCCTTCTCCTTTTCCTCTCTGTCTCCTCCTCCTCCTCCTTCTGTTTACTGTGGACTGAAACTAGGACTCCAAGAATCCTAGGCAATCAACTTAACAATAACATCCTCAGTTTTTACATTTCTTTTTGTTGAGAAAGGGAATCACTGTTTGTCTAACTGCTCCATACCTCAGGCTGGGTTGAGATCTCGTTGCCTCAGTACCCTGAGTAAACAGGATTATAAAGATGTACACTAGATCCTGATGAAATAAATGTCTTTTGTAGTCTGCTTTGAGCTTCTAGCTGTGAGACATCTATCTGTCTCAGCCTTGTCCTCTCCACTATGTCTTACTCTCAGGTCACCTGGCCAACTCTATAAACCTCCTGATGGCCTTCTGGTGCCATTTAAATTCCACCCTTGTTTGATCTAGCTAGATATTATTTATATATTTCCATCTTATACCTATTTCTGTCACATAGAGTCTATATTTTAACTGTGTAAAAGCATAAGCCTCATGCAAATGGGAGTTTATCATTTACTGGATCCTTAACATGTTGGAACATTGCTTTATAATTTGTCAGAACTCCAAAAATATTTGTTAAATGGATAAGATATATATTTCTAATAGAATGCTTACTGCTCAGTACATTTGAGCTGCTAATTAAAGTATATCAAATGAAAGAAATGAATAGCCAGGCGGTGGTAGTGCATGCCTTTAATCCCAGGACTTGGGAGGCAGAGGCAGGCAGATCTCCATGAGTTCAAGGCCAGCCTGGTCTCCAAAGCGAGTTCCAGGAAAGGCACAAAGCTACACAGAGAGACCCTGTCGCAAAACAAAACAAAACAAAACAAAACACAAAACAAAAGAAATGAATAACTTAGCTGTGTGCATAGTTAAATCTTGCTAAAGCAGGAGCTTTACAGAGTGTATTTGAGGTCAACAACAACAACAACAAACCACACTGGCTTTCTCAGTGAAAAACTAGACCTAGAATAGGCAAAAAACTCTTTTTATGTTAGAAGACTACTTGATCATACCAGTGTTACTGAGAAGAGGACAAACATGTGGTTACAAAGACAGCTCATAATATTTAACACCTTGCTGTGGATATTGTTCTATATAAATAAAACACTGGTGGCCAGTGACGGGGCAGGAAGTAGGTGGGACAAGGAGAGAGGAGAATTCTGGGAAGCGGAAGGCTGAGGGGAGAGACACTGCAGCGACCGCCAGGAGAAGGACATGTAAAGAAGCCGGTAAGCCACCAGCCACGTGGCAAGGTATAGATTTATAAAAATGGGTTAATTTAAGATATAAAAACAGTTAACAAGAAGCCTGCCACGGCCATACAGTTTATAAGTGATACAATCGTCTGAGTGATTATTTTATAAGTGGATTGTGGGACTGCGGGGCTTGGGGAACCTGGAGAGAAGCTCTCCAGCA